TGGCAGCTGCAGCAGCACCAGGGGGTAGTGTTGTGTCAAGTGAAACATGAGGCGTTCACAACACGTCTTTATAGTTTTCCTCTCTTCTTCTGTCTAGCAGCGGAGTGACTCTGTGTCACCATGGTATGGTGTCCCCCCGTGGCGCTACTCCCGCGCGGAGCCGCGGGCAGCTCGGTCGCTCGCGCGCCGGTAAGTCCTCAGCTGGAAGCAAATCGGGCAGAACTCGTGAGCTGGCGAGTACAACAACGGCAAACAAACCAAACCAGTGAGAAAACTGACATCGATATCAACACGACGTCGATTATTCGGAAGTTGAGTTGTCGTTCAGGTACAGGTCCCGAAATTGTTCGAAATGACGGAATATACGCGAAATAGTTGGTAAAATAGTCGCGAAATACCCCCGAAATGCTGCGAAATGCCCCGAAATAATTCGAAATAACCGTGACATAACCGAAATGGCAGGAGAAATGCCACGAAAAAGCCCGTACGCTACGAACGAAGAGATTTCCCTTCTCGGATCCCGGGGACATGAAACTCACCCAGCGGCGCAGGAAGAGGCGGTCGGCGTGGTTGATGTTGGTGTAGGGCTCGGCGGCCTGCTCCGCCTCCTCGGCACTGTCCGCCCTCCGCTCGGCCGCGGGTACCGCGCCGCCGCCGAGGCCACCGCCGCCTTCGAGCACGCTGACCGTCTCGCCGTTGTTGTCGTCGTCCTCGCCGTGGTACGTCCTGGTAGAGGCCGCCGCCGGCCTCCCCCACAGCGGGGTGCGGGAGCTCACTGCACACCAGACACCGTGAGAAACAGGACATCAAAACGACATCGGATCGACATCGAAAATGCAAATTTGACGTCGATGCGATGATATCGTTTCGAAAGTCATTCCTGACTAGACGCGGCGAAGTGTCGGGATGGCTTTGCGTATGGTGTACCTGGCGACTGTCTCAGCACGATGAATGCGGCCTCATCGTCGTCCTGGGGGCTCCGAAGGCTCCGCAGGTAGGGCAGCCTCTCCGGGGTGGGGTCCCCGTCGGCGCCCCGGGGCTGGGGCGGCGGCAGGGGCGCGACCAGCACGCCGGCCCCACCCCCGGCGCGCTTGCCGTAGCCGCCGAAACACGAATGGCCGTACGCCGAACAGCCTCCTGCGACACGAGAGGCGAAGACGCATTGCACATGTCCGAAAAGAAAAAGGCCACCCACTCGCCCCTCATACACGTGTGGCTACACGCATGAGTTTTGGTTTTAGCATGGCCTTTCAATTTTCATTTTCTGTCAAAGTAATGGCATCAGAAAAGTAAAGAAGTCTCAAAATCAGAAGCGTGAAAAACAACAAGGCGCTAGACGCTATACAGTGTGTTAGGGCTACGACACAACAGTGTGAGGGTGTACCTACCCGAGGAACCATCACTGTAAAAACTATAGGGACATGTGTCAGTCACATTACAAGTGTG